ACCCCCAAGTCCTTCTCCATGGGGCTGCTCTCCACCCCTTCACTCCCAGCCCGTGTGGCTACACCAGTCAGTCAGATCAGGGCCGTCAGGAAGGCAGCAGGCGCGGAGGCTGCACTGCTCGGAGCCTGCGGGAGGGGAGCGCTGGCCCCGGGGTGTGGGTGCAGAGGGCTGGGCAGGAAAACCGCAGCAGGACCCAAGGGCTGGCGGGCATGGGACGTGAAGCCTCAGGGTGCCTCGCGTCTCTGAAGCAAGGCTGGCAGGAGGGGGTGTTCGCTGAAGCCAGGGAGGAAGGCCTGGCGCGGAGCGGGCGGCCGCCTGGCAGCACTGCACTGGGGCTGGCCGTGCCAGCCTGCAAGCGCGCGGGTGTGGTAGTCATTTCAAATGGGAATGGTCCTGGTGTCCCCCGCGCCCAGATTTGGCCATGTCGTGGTCCTCCCCATGCCCCAGGGTTGGCTGAGGACCATAGAGACAAGGAAGCCCGAGCTCAGCTCCAGGGGAGGTCCCCCATCTCCAGGCCATTGCTGCTCACTCTGACATCAGCAGTGATGTCATAGCACAGGGACAGCTGCATGGCAATTCTAAGTGGGCACGGGGCCACAGTGGGACAAGGAACATGGGGGGACTGCTGGGGTGGTGAGCAAGCCTGTGCAACATCTGGGTGGTATGTGCACTGCAGAGAGAGGCTGTCCTTGTCCCTGTGTCACTGCTCCCTCCTGGCAGCTGTCACCATAGCAGGGGCAACAGCCACCCCCCTGTTTCAGCTGGGAACCATTGCCCCCCGTTGCTTCCCACCTTCTGCCAGCACCTCTGCTTTTCAACTGACGGAAGCGCAGTCCTGGTCTCAGAGCCACCATGTCCAAAAGCAAAGGAGCAGCGGAGACTAGTCAATCTGTTGTCACCATGGAGTCCTCAAATATCATCAAAGTGACTGTGAAGACCCTCAAGCAGAAGGAGCAGTTTGAGGTTGCTCAGAGCAGCACCATCCAGGAGTTCAAGGAAGATGTTGCCAAGCGTTTCAAAACACCCCCTGATCTTCTGGTCCTGATATTTGCTGGGAAAGTCCTTAAGGATCAAGACACTTTGAGCCAGCATGGAGTTCACAGTGGGGTCAGCATCCACGTTGTCATCAGGTCCCAAAAGAGACCACAGGATGGCCTGGCAGATCAACGAAGAGTGACCACCCTGATGCAACCTCCCAGCCACAGTAATTCCGACTTATTCTACTTGGGAAGCATAGCTGATCTGCAAAACTCATGCTTGATCTATCATAACTTGTCTGAGCTGTTGTCCTGCAGCCAGGAAATAGTGGCCCAGACCATGGAGAATCTCTTGTCTAGGATCCTCAGTTCAGGCCTGGATCTGAATACCATCAACAACAACGCATTTTTGCTAGGGTTCCTCCTTGGGGTGACAGGTGTACATCTCCTGAGCCTGGACTCAACAGACATGTTGGACTTGGTGAGTAGCATTCCAGAACAAGATGTGTCCATGCACAGCTTGATAAGCGAGATGATGCAGAGCACCTTTGTGCAGAATGTCCTTGACAATGCTGACGTTGTCAGGGATCTCATCATGTCCAACCCTCAGATGCAGCAGCTAGCTGAAGAAAATCCCGAGATTGGTCACATTCTCACCAACCCACATACTATCAGAGAAATATTAGAGGCCTCCAGCAGTCCTGCCATAATGCAAGAATTGATAAGGAACCGTGATGTGGCCATGAACAACCTTGAAAGCATCCCTGGTGGGTACAGAGCTCTGGAGCAGCTGTACAGGGAAATTGAGGAGCCCATCTTAGATGCTGTGCAGGCACAGCTGGGCAACAACCCGTTTGCTCCCCTGGACAGTAACCCATCCCTGAGTGGAGCCAGGCTACCAGCCCACACTGAAAACCGGAGGCCGTTACCTAACCCTTGGGCTCCGCGGTCAAACAGAGCCAGTGATAACACAGATGACTCTGATGGCCAATTTGCCAGCAGTGGTTTTGCCTCAGTGAGTTTGGGTGCTGCAGCAGGTGCAGTGATACCCAGCTC